AACCCCCCCCCCCCCAAAAAAAAAAAAAAAAAAAAAAAAAAAAAAAAAAAAAAAAAAAAAAAAAAAAAAACGCATTTTGTTTTTCTTCAATTTCCTTCGATTTTGCCCTTACCCCCCCAACCAAAAGGTGTTCTTTTTCCCTTTTTTTTTGTCTGTTGGGGTGGGGCCGGGGATGCGCCGCCCGATGGCGCTTCCCAAATTCCGAAACCCCCTCCCCTGCAGCCGCCACGTGGCGTCAAAGTCGCGCGTCCGCGGCCTCGCGGCCTTGTCCGCGGCCTAGTCCGCGGCCGCGGACTTGGCCGCGGTTGTCTGCCGCCGAGGGTGTTTCATAGGTCATGGGAAGTCGAAGGCGAGAGATGGTGGAGGGGATGCTGATGGCGAGGCGGGTGGAGGAAGAAACTCAAAGAATTGGGAATTGGACGATTCACTCATCCTCGTCCGTTGCAAAAGGGATCTTGACGATCACATGGCCAGCCAGGGGAGCAACTTCGCGCGGATGAAGACGAAGACGTGGAAATGGAACGAGATAGCAAAGCGTATGGCCCAACAAGGGGTTACAAATAGAGATGGAGACTCGTGCATGAAAAAGTGGGAGAACATCTTCGGGTGGAGCAGGAAAATCTGGGATAGGGAGAACGACTTTGGCCTGTAGTCTTTTTTCCTGTTGACATCGAAGAAACGGAAAGAACTGGAGTGTAAGTTCACGATGGATCGACAGCTGTACGACGCCGTCCACGCGACTACACCCAACAATCAGGCCATACACCCGCCTAATCTATATGACACCGGTGGACTTCCTCCCCAGCAAGCGAATGAGGGTGAGCAGAGCCAAGCTAGAGGTCCGATGTTCGGCGGGGAAACGTCCGCGAGCGACAACATGGAAAGGGACTCGGGGGACGGGTATGGCAGCAGGTCTTCAGGGGGAACACCAGCGGGGAAGCGGAAGAATGTGCGGCAGCTTGCCTTCGATGCTGTGACGGACGTGATGAAGACACATTCAACGGTCGTCGCGGATACAGTGGATCGTGCTAGCAAGCGTCAATGCGACATCATGGAAAGGGAGGCGAGGACGCAGGAGAAACAGTGCGAAGTGTTGGACGCTGGTCAGCGCATGCAGTGTGATGCTTTGCTGAAGATAGCATCTGCGTTGGATCGGAGCTGATTGCAATTGCCCCGGTGGACTGCGGAATGTATGACGACCCGCCGCGACCAATCAGCAGATGGCAACCCATTTTTTCGCATCAACGCTTGCCACTGCTGGCCGTGAACTCCCTTCGCACGCTATTCGCGTCGTTTTTTTAGGCCCACCCCTTTTTTTCCCCCTTTTGTCGATGTCTTGTCAGCTACGAAACACTCGCGGACGCGTCCACGGGGTCGATCTCGGAGGCAGCAGGGACTTTGGGTTCGAGAACGGGGTTACAAAACACGGAGTCCGCCATTACGAGGTCGACGCGGATGGAGAGGCGTGCCTCTATCTCACAGTCGGCTATGGATATGGCAGGAGGCTCCTTAGGCAGGTGGTCGTCTTCGCGCGGAAGGTGGTCCCGACAATCCCCGACCGTTGGGTCGTAGGTTCGGACATCTTCTCAAACATCATCGACCTCCTGGTGTCTAACGTGGCGATGGGGTTCGCAGGCCGTCTCGACGAGCTGGCAATGTACGTCGTCCACGCTGACCCTCCTTTCGCCGATCGGTCATACTTGCATGGTGAAGTGCGGATCGTCCTCGACGACACACACGACATGAGCGACGGTAGACGTCTCCGTATAGCGCAGCTCCGCCGGTTTTCGTTTTCTAACTCTCTCGTGTGGATCGACGCATGTTGATGACCGGATTATCGGGCCCTGGAGAGAGAGAGAGAGAGAGAGAGAGAGAGAGAGAGAGAGAGAGAGAGAGAGAGAGAGAGAGAGATGAATCCGTAGGCCTGTCTTTCCTTCACTGTCAAATCGCGCCACTATCGTGAGTAGTGGTGAGCGCGGCCGGTTGTTCACGCACGACTGTGGTGGTGATACGTGGTCCTCGTTTCCGATCACCCGTTCTTGTAAGGAGTTGGGTCACTTGTATGGACGGTGAGAGTGATACCACTACAG